GGCAGAGGTTGGGGGGTGTGGGGGTGGAATCACACGTCATTTATATGTATGCATCTCATCCTTAAAATATCTTAGTAGGACAAATTGGGAATGTTGCATTTCCATTTTTCTGACAGTAAAACTAAAGTTGAGAGAGGTTTAGAGAGGTTTGGTAGTTTCCCCAAGGTCATATATATGTTAGTGTGAAGTTAGAACTAGAATTCAGTTCTCTAATGTAGAGACGAATATTTGTTTTCTTAAACTTAGCTCAGAACATTCTGAATCCAACTAGTGTATTCTTTGGCTCACGAAGAACAGCTTGTCCAGTTCTGCAGGTTTTTGTGGCTGATATTATAAAATGTTTCATATTAGGAACAATTATTATTTGATCCATAGCCTATATTACAATTTTCCAAACAGCTGTTTAGTAGAAGGGAGATATTTTGCTAGGGGAACACAAAAGTGGCACCAAATCATTTTAATACAAGAAGCCTTGAGGTCATTGCTTGGTTTTCATCAGTGTTATTGATGAAGGTCATGTTCAAAGTTAAAATAGAGCTTGATCCTCCCTCCCCAATGTTTTTCAATAGAAAAACATTCTGTGATAATGGGAATGTACCATTTGTGCACTGTCCAGTGTGCCACTATGGTGGCCCCCAGCCCACAGGGAGTAGCTGAGAGCACTGAGCTGTAGCTGCCACAGCTTAACAACAGATTTTGAAATTTAATCTGATTTTAATTGAAGGAATGACGGGAGGGAGGGAAGAGGAAGGAAGGTAAAAAAAGAATGGAGGAAGGAAGAAAGGAAGGAAGGAATTTCTGGTATTCATGCTTAGCCAAATAGAAGCATTTGGGGCATGTTCTTTCTTATGACCGCTCACATCATGCCATTCAGACAGCAGATCTTGCTTCTCCACCTCTGAACTGAATCATGCAAATAAATCCATTGTATATAGTGATGAATTATTAAATCACTCTGGTCGTTCAGAATTTAATCCATCAATTCACTTATTCAGTAATGTAATCAGGTCGAGCTCTAATGAAGAACACAAATGGAAGCCAATATAGATATACAAATTTTACAGTTAGAACTCAAGCTAATAACACATTTTTAGGGTTGCTATACCCTAATAGTTACATAACTGCCGTTATGTAATGCTCTTTATCCTCGATAAATTTCCTATATCTCAATAACTTTTCTTGAAGTCTACTTTATCTAAAAATAATATAAGTATTGCAGCTTTCTTTTGACTAGGATTCACATGGTATATCTTTCTCTATCCCCTTTAGCCTATTTTTCATATTCAAAGTGGGTTTCTTATAGAAAACATGTATTCAGATCTTGTTTTATAATGTTTTGACAGCATCTCTTTTGAAATGTATGTCTAGGCTATTCATGGAAAATGATTATTAACACAGTTGCATTAATATGTATCATGTTTTAAACTCAGAATATACTTATATATTTCAATAATAGTTTATTGAAGTATAATTTACATGACAAACAACTTATTAGTCTTTTTTAGGTGTAAAATAAATAGGTTCTTTGTATTTCAGTGTTGTCTAATCATCACATTAGTTTTAGAGCATTTCATAACCCCTAAAAGAAACTTAGCATCTATTAACAGTCATTCCCCATCTCCTACTATCTACCCCCCACCCTGCTTTAGAAATCCACTATCCCATTTTCTGTCTTTATACACTTGCTCATTTTGGATGTAGCATAAGTATGGAATCATACAATCTGAGTTTCTTTGTGACTGGTTTCTTCCCATTAACATAATCTTTCAAAGTTCATCCATGTTGTATCCTATGTCAGTATTATCTACTATTATTAGGACATAATACTCATCATATGGATATACCACTTTCTAATCTATCTACTCAGCAGTTGATATTGAATTTCTTTCTATCTTTTGGCTATTATAAATAATGCTGATATGGACAGTTGTTGAGTAAATAAAAAAAAAATTTCTACCATTTTACAATACCAAAGGAAGTGTATGAGGGCTCCAATTTCTCTACATATTTTTCAACATTTCTTATTATATGCCTTTTTTATTATAACCATCTTAGTTACTAAAGTAGTGTCTTATTCACCTTTCCCAAATGGCCAGTGATTTTGACCATCAGTTCATATGTTTATTGGTCACATATATTTTATTTTGGGCCATATCTATTCAGATATCTACCAATTTTTTATTTCATTTTTTTATTATAACAGTTTATTTTTACATCATTTTGTACATTTTTTCATCTCAATTGTAATCCCCGTGGGTTTCCCATCACCATGTCACCCATGTGCCATCACCATAATCCTGTGCACGTCCCTCCCCCCCCCCCCGTTTTTGATCCCATTCCCCACTCCACCCCCACAAAATGTCTCTGGTATATGGTTGTTCATTATTTTTGTTATTTTCTCGCCTGGTCCATTATACTCCTGCTATGAGTGAAACCATCCGGTATTTTTCTTTCTCTTTCTGGCTTATCTCATTAAGCATGATCTTTTCCAACTCCATCCAAGTTGCTGCAACAGATATCTACCCATTTTTAATTGAGTTGTTTGTCTTTTTACTTTTGAGCTTATTTTTTTAATTAATTTATTTTCCACTGGGTTCATCAGATATTGCCACTAGAGTGGGTTTTAACCTTTATATTTTAGAAACAAGTCCCTCAGTAGGTATATGGTTTGCAAATGTTTCCTTCCCCTGTTGTATTGTCTTTTCATGTACTTGATGCTGCCTTTTGAAACACAGAATTTTCAGATTTAATTGAAGTTTTGGATGACATTTAATTCATATAATTTTTATTTTGTTACTTGTACTTTTAGTGCAAATGCTATATTTAGTCGTTAATGAAGATTTTATGCTGATCTTTCTTTTAAACTTAAAATGTTTTGTGTATATTTCATTTAGGTTTTGATTGATCTAAAGATTTGTGTGTGTGTATTATACAAAGTAGGGCTCCAACTTTATTGTTTAAAGATTGATATCCATTTGTGTCAGCACTTTTTTTCCCCCAAAGGACTGTTCTTTCTCTTTTGAGTTGTTTATAATACTTTTGAAAAATAGATGAATAAAGAGAATCAAGGAAGCATGAAATGGATATGATATGTTCAAGGAACTTTAAGTAGTTTGGGGTAAGCCAGGTCATAGTGTATGTGTAAGAAATATATAAAATAATAGAACTTGAAACTGGAGAGGTGGTAGGTATCAGAAAGTAAAGGTCCAATGCAAGGTGTGACACATTTAAAATAACACTAATTCATTTGTATCTTTTTTTAAAATCCTTAGTGTTTAGCACAGTGCCTAATAAGAAGGATGTGCTTAATAAATGCTTATTGAATTACAAAGGGAAAAAATTGAAATTATATAATTAAGTTAAATTTGGATTGATATGTCAATTTTTACTAAGATTATGAAAAATACATTCTAAGATTGGTTTACTTTATTTTTTATACCTTTATTGAAGGGACTGCATTATAGCTTTATATATTTCAGCCACACATCATTGTAAATCAGTATCTATATAAACTATGTTAAGTTCACCACAAAAAGGCTGAGTCTATCCTTTACCATACAGTTGACTTTTATTACCCAGTCAACTCACTCCCCTTTCTCTTTCTCTTTTTGTAATCTCTAGTTTGGTCTAGAAGTTTATTTTTTATTTTATTTAACTCATTTGATTTTTGTTTCCTCTGTCTGCTACAAATGAGTGACATTATATTGTTTTCCTCTTTCTCTGATGTATTTCACTTGGCAAAATATCCTCTGGGTCCATCCATGCTGTTACAAATGAAAGGATTTTACAGGATCTCTTTCAGAAGACCAGATGTCTTAGTAACCTCTAAAATAATTAAGTCTATAAAATACCCTCTTTTATTTTCAAGACTTCAAATATTAAAGCAGCTTTGCATTTTTAAAATAAATTTATCATTTTTTATTTTTAACTGAGACAATATTTGGATACCCCCATCGAAAATTGCCATCTTACTCCACCCACCCCACGTCACCCACAGTGCACGATAGTCCATGATGCTTCCTTCCCTCTTCACTCTCACACTTCCCCACCATTTCCTGCCTCTGGATGCTTCAGTTCTGTTGTCAGCTCTGAAACTTTGTGTTTAGACAGTGACCTTTAAGTTTCCATTAGTATTTATGACCTTGTTGCTTCTCATATGAATAAGAAGTTATATTTGGAGGCTGTCCCTGAAATTAATGTTGATACTTCCTGGGTACCAGTGTTTGAGTATTTAGGGGTGCCCTTCCCTATATCTCCAAGGGGCTATCGTTTCTCTGGGCTTGTCAGAGCCACATGATAGGAGGCTCTCTTTAAAAAAACAGTGTTTCTTCTTTACCCTTATAATATGCAGAGTCAGTGTTTTCTGTTTTGTTCCCTGACATCACCTTAATGTCTTCCTGGGGCTGAAAAATTATGTGCAAAGTAGAGGCAAGGTAACTAAATATTTTTCCAGGGACAAGATGAGCAATTTGCATATTTGGTTGTTTGGGGATTTAAGTGACAGATCTCTCACCCTATGAAACCTGTCTAAATGTGTCATATGAGGAGATATCAGGTTTATAAAAGCGGTCACGTATACTTCTAAAATACTGAACTATACAAGACTGCTGATGTTTTGGATAATTTATATCACAGATGAAGGAAGCAAGGCTTTATAGATTTTTAGGAAATTGCTCCTACTTAAGTGTTAATTTACTGGGAGAGTTAAAATTCACTCCTAGTTTAGCAACCTTTCTTTCACATACTACTCAGTTTTTGAAGGCCTATTATTTTTGATTCCCATTAAATAGTGACTGGTATCCTGAGTTTTATGCTTCTGATGTTTGATGTGTCTCCCCACTTAGTGTCCTATAGAACCTCTTATGTTTTAATGAGATAGGAGAGAATTTACTCAGAAGGGGTAGATGAAATTATTTCAGAGAAGCACGTGAATCCTTTGATGAATTTGCCCCCCCCCCTTTTTTTCTCAGCAGGGTGACTTACCAGGTCATACCAAGCAGATGAATCCAGCAAATCACTCCCACGTGACTGGTTTTGTACTAATAGGGCTCTCTGAGGTATGGGAGCTTCGGCTCCTCTTCTTCATTGTTTTCTCTGTGGTGTATCTCATGACTGTAACTGGAAATCTACTCATTGTGGCTATAGTGACCTCTGACCCACAGTTACACACAACCATGTACTTTCTCTTAGGCAATCTTTCTTTCCTAGACTTTTGCTATTCTTCTGTGACTGCACCTAGGATGCTGGCTGACTTACTCTCAGGAAACCCCATCATTTCCTTTGGTGGCTGCCTGACTCAGCTCTTCTTTTTCCACTTCATTGGAGGGATCAAGATCTTTCTGCTGACTGTCATGGCCTATGACCGTTATGTCGCCATTTCTCAGCCCCTGCGCTACATGCTTATTATGAATCGGACAGTCTGTGGGCTTCTCATGGCAGGCTCCTGGGTGGGGGGCTTCATCCACTCCATTGTACAGATTGGACTCACTGTGCAACTGCCATTCTGTGGACCTGACAAACTAGACAACTTTTACTGTGATGTGCCCCAGCTGATTAAATTGGCCTGCACAGATACCTTTGTCTTAGAGCTTCTGATGGTGTCTAACAATGGGCTGGTGACTCTGACATGTTTCCTGGTGCTGCTGGGATCATACACAGCACTGCTTGTCATGCTCCGAAGTCACTCACGGGAGGGCCGCAGCAAAGCCCTGTCTACTTGTGCCTCCCATATTTCTGTGGTGACCTTAATCTTTGTGCCTTGCATCTACATCTATGCAAGGCCATTTCGGACATTCCCCATGGACAAGGCAGTCTCTGTGCTGTACACAATGGTCACTCCCATGTTGAATCCTGCCATCTACACCCTGAGGAACAAGGAAGTCATTATGGCCATGAAGAAATTGTGGAGGAGGCAAAAGGACATTCTTGTTCCCCTGCAGCACTGACCCCTAGATTAGCAGAAGCAGGATCTGAGAATCTTGGAACTGCTTCAGTATACAACCTATTTTACAGGAATCACGAAGTAACTAAAGCAAGCTGTCTTCTGCTTCTCTAGCGTTCCTAACCTCAGTCAAGTTCTAGTGACCTGCACTTTCAGTCAAACTGGAAGGTGGATTAAGTATCTAGAACTTTTCTTAAGCGCCTCCTAAAGAGAAAGACCTCACATGCTATGCTGAACAATGTTGGATCGGATGGGATCCGATGCCACTCTACCAGATGAGCCTGATGTTGTCCCAGCTACAGAAGTTCCATCTGTATATGCACAGAGATGGTACATCTGGCGTTTCTTTTATGATACTGTGTTTCTTAGGGAAAAAAAAAATATACATTTGAGGAACGCAATTATAAGCTTTCTGAAGACAGGAGGAATCCAGAGGATAAAGGGTAGGATGTGGAATCTTGATTTCAGGCCGGTTTTTGACTTAAATGTCAATGATGAAAAAGAGAATTACCTAGAGCAAATTACTTTCTTCTTCTTTCTTAAGATTATCATAATGGTCACAGTCATTACTGTCATTAAATAATCTTGCTAAGAGCTTACTATGTGCCAGTCGTTGTATTTAGTAACTTACATTTATTACTTGTTTTAATTCTTTCAGTAATCTTATGAGGTAGGTGTCACCTTCATTTTGAATAAGTGAATTGTGGATTGGAGACACTTAGTAATTTATTTAGTTTCCAGAATTTGTTTCTGGAATCCAACTCATACCTATATATATTTGAAGCACAAATTGATGATACCAAAAATTCCCTATAGCCACTGATGCTCAATATCTCTTTGTGAGTTTGTGTTAGTTAGATTGGTATCTTGAGATAATATTTTAAATTGATTTTGGCCAAGTATCTTTGGGAGAGTCAGGCAGATAAGATACTAGAATATAGGGAAATGGAGTAGAAGATGATCTTGGTCTATTGAACACATGATGGCTCTGGAACTCTGGATGGCTATGGAACTGGATTATAACATGGAAAGGAAGATTATGTTCCAGTCTCAAATAAAGAGTAGCATTGAATAATTTATCAGTGATGCTAGATGCTCCTCTTCAATTTAGGAAGCTATGGAAAATCATTTCCCAATCCTCCCTAATGCTTAACTTCTTTATCTGGATTCCTGAGTCTCCTACCACAAACTTACTCACTTAACTTCTTACTTGTAACTTAACTTCTTACTTGTAGCAGAGACTCTGCATCTTTTTGTCCTTACCCCCATATCTAAGAGTCATATTTAAAATAAATCAAAGCAGTGTTTATTTAACTTGCTAGTTGTTATTTAATCAATCAGTGATACTCTCCATGATATAGGGTACAACTAGGGTGACATGTAACAAAAGCATCCACAATCTAAACATAAAGTCACTATCATTTATATTTAATTATAAAATAAATTAGTATAAGCAAAGTTGTTTTCTACAATAGTCTGCTTAGAGGGAATGTCTAGGCCGTAAGTCAAATCCAAAGAGGAAAGGTATAGGATTTGAGAAAATGGAGTTTGAATATTGAATGAGAAGATAAGATGGTATAGAAGAAATACTGGAACTATTGAAAGAGAGTGTATTTTTTTTAAATTTTATTTATTTTTTATTTTTTAATTT